TAATAGACTTTGGCACACCAAGGAATCTCATAATTTGATCCACATATAATTTAACTAATCTCTCAACTGGATCAATCATTCTCTCTTAAGGGCAAGAAATGAGCACACTTAGTCCATCTGTCAACGGTTATCCATATAACATCACAACTCTGACATGATCTAAGCAACTCATATCACAAAATCCATCGCTATCTCCTTCTATTTCCACTATGAAATCAGTAAAGTCTGCAACTGAACTCAAGTTTATTGATGTTATGCCTTCACTAGCTGACATGAAAGACACTTAGTCACAAATTTTGATACACTCCTAATCTTGGCCACCAAAAATATTTCCTTGAGTTCATGGTACATTTTATTACTCCCCCGTTACATAATACAGCCATATAAATGGGTCTCCTCAAGTATATCCTTCAACAGATTACAATATCTGGAATATAAACTTTGTGTTTATATTTCAATAAATCATCATTATCTAAAACATACTTATCCAAATTGCCCGTCTTAACTTGCTCTAGCATTTTCTAAACACTGCTATCTCTAGCTAAAAAATTTTCAATTTTTCCCTTCAAAGTTGACTGCACCATCAACTGATACAATTGAACAATATTGTTATCACCATAATCAACTATAGAAATCTTCAACTTTTTCAGATCTTCAAATAACAGCTCCTACTGAGTAAATACATAGTTCAAATTATTTCAAGCCTTACAACTTTGCACATTAAAAACCAACATTTACCTTCCCCGGATGGTACTGAAAATCTAAATCATAATCTTTAATAAATTTCATCAATCTTCTCTGCCTCAGGTTCAACTCTTTCTGAGTAAAGATGTACTTCATGTGATGTCCAATTTCTATAATCGAGGGACATGAGAAAACTGAAGAAGTGCATGTAAGGAGTCAAGAAAAGGCGACACAAATGGGTTGGATAGCCAAAGAAATTGGAGATAAATCGAACAATCGGGAATTTTAGGCTATGGGATCAGAAGCCTACTCGACAAGTTATAAAATGGCGCAGCCAAGGTGAGATTCACTTACCTGGGAGTCGAGCGGTGTGCGAAAGAGAGGACGACACAGGACATCTTAGTCGGCGATGAGGAGGCCTGAGGAAGTATCAGCGTTTGTGTCAAGCAACGGAGGAAGAGTCGGTGTCAGTCGAAGGAGTCGACGTTGAGAGAAGAACCTCTCTCAGTGCACATACGCTGCTACCATAGGAAGGAGACATCGATGTCTAGACTCTTTGTGAGTGGGAGTCAATTGTAAGGGAGAAAAGAGTGATTTGGTTGCAGAAACAAAATGTCAATTGTAGGGGAGAAAAGAGTGATTCGACCAAATAGGTTAAGTTGAGTTTTAATAAGTTTAATTAAAACATATAATAAGAATTTTATACTTATAATATATATTTAGGATTATATAAGATATAATAATAATAAATTTTAACACTTAAATAATATAAAATAAATATTTTAAATAATAAATTAATGTTTATACTTATATTTATTGTAGGCTTAAATTTTAAAAAGAATCGAAGTTAAAAATAAATTCAAGGCAAATCAAATAACAATTTAATCGACATCGAGGTGAATACTCATACTCTTAAATTATAAAATCATTTTAGTATCTTCTCTAAACAAGTTATATGTGTCATTATTTATTCTTTATTATTGTAATTGATTTTTTTATTATTAAATTTTCTTAGTCATTTCGATACGAATACGCATAATATTATATTATAAAATATTTAATTAATTATAATATTACATATTAAGTGATATGAAATATTGAATAACTGCATAAAATGATTGTATGTATATCTTTGGCTACAATGGAGTCGCCTATTGATGGTACTAATGAGGGAAAAATAAGATAATCGTACACATATATTAAAATGAATATTGATATTGAAGTTTCTTAAATGATATAATTTTTAGACAGTGCTCTTGCAACCATTGTATATAGATAAAAATAATAAGAACAGATACGTTATTTATAAGAGTATTTCGACTACAAAAATAGATATTATTTTTTCTTATATGCATGGAACCTATATGTATGCCAAAATATAAACTTTAAGTAATATAATTTGATTATCCACTTGTCAATTACTGGTACTGCGCTAAGCAGCACCCTCCTAAGTTGGTATTGTAGGAAACCCTTCTAGTTGAATGTCGGGCTCTATACATACGGGTGACCGATAGTTGCCTTCAGAGTCCCTCGAGAATACCAAAATTTGAGTCTACCCCAACCTGAATGCTTACGATTTTCTTTTTTTCCTCGGATTTTTCGTATGTTTCCTACGGTTTTATTGAGATCTTTGTAGATCATTCATGATTTCCTCCAGATTTTTCTTGTGCTTTCGACAGTTTTCTTCGAGTTACCGTAGGTCCTTTGTCGCTTTTCTAGAGCTTTTCAGGTGACGTTCGCTATTCATTCTTGTTTGTATAAATTCATGCTCACACATTTCTTAAATTCTTTTCATTATATTCGTTTACTTGTACCTGCGACACCAACTTCATTTACGGGAGTCGCCGACCCGTCAGATATACAGGTTTGTTTTATTTTTACAATTTTTCACTTTTTTTACTGCACACTTTACTACATATATATATAGTTCATGATTGTGATGCTACTGTTTATTGTTTACAGCGTTTCGTAGCATGTTTCCCTTTCATTATTCATGTTGTTTCTATAGACATGCAGAAGCCTTTTAGGATAGAGGACAGTAGGACAGTAGGACACCCGGTTTAGGAGGTACCCTATAGGGAGCCGCTAACCCAATAATCACATATTTATACACACCACAACCCCGAATATATAATCAATATGTTAAGGAGCTTAGAGTAGTTTTTCCAAGAAGCGAAGCATGGAAGCGAGGACGGAGAACAGCGATTGAGGCCACGGCAACGAGGTGTAGGAAGTTTCTTCAGAGTTAAGGTCTAATCGTAGAATAGGTGGGAAGTCACCCGGGTTTCTTCGGATCTGTGACATCCCCTACTTTTTATTTCATTGACTCCTAAAAATAATTGTTCCTATTTTGAGTCTCCTCCGCTTTTTTTTCCTCACATTTAACCTCAGAAACTTATACTTTGAAATTATGAAGACTAAATCACTGATCATAATTGAGAGTCTTCTTAAGTGATTTCGGTCATTTAAGAGATAATTAACTATAGAGGCTTGCCTCCATAGGGAACTTAAGAACCCAACTTAATATAAACCCTATTTAATCTCCCGTATTAAATAGGGGAACTTGTCGGCTTATAAAAAAAGGTTTCGCAGACCCAACGGACGCACAAATATTTTAGTTTATGTGGTTAAAACTACCAACAAGTTATATGCATATTCTTCGAGATAGTGTATTACTTGTGGTATTGCGCCCAGTCATCTAAACTACCAAATGTATGAGACCCATTCGGCCTCACTTTTCAAAATTAAAATATTATTTTCTAAAAAATTATAACCATACACATATATATCAAATTAAATTTAAATGATTTTAAAAATAAATGGCCGACACTCCACTCCAACTTCTCCATAGATTGTTGAAACTACCTAGCAATGTGAAAAGTCTTAGTAGGTACAGGTTCACTTCTAATTTTTTTAATGGTGCTACTACCTATGTATTTGAACTCGCGTCTCTAGAAATAAACTTATTATGCTTTCCTGCTTTGATATGCTCTTCAACCAAGGTTCTCAAATGGTGACACTTCCATGTCATGCCCTTGATCACAGTGATAAGACAGTACTACCTCAAGTCACTGAGATATGCTCTAGCACTCATCCGCATTAATCACATCCGCATTGATCACTCGAAGTACTTTATTTTGAATTGTCTCATTTAGCTCGGACATGAAGAGTCTCAAAAGAGGCATTACATATGGTGTGTAATTAGGTTGTGGCAACAACAATTCCCTTTTATAGTCATCCCTTTGTTGTTCAATTCTTACTCACCCCTCAAAGGGATGATTATTTGTCTTTTCAAAAAAAAAAAAAAATTTATTTCTCTATCTGCTTGCTCAGTATGATGACTTCTTTAATATCTAAGAAACTGTTGAAATCTTTTCGGGATATGATTTTTGTCCTTCCTCTTAGCTAAAAATAAAGTTGGCTCATAGTTGTACTCTTCAACATTGACATGATTATTGGTAAGCTTATGAAGCTCAGCAAGCATCATATACTCCTAAAGACCAAACACATAGCAGGATGGGCCTTCACATAACCCCTGAGAATCAGAGCCTCTTGATCAATTATTGGATCCAAATCGTTGGACATTTCCTTTTAAATCCGAATAATAAAACTCGACAATTTACATGATTTCTGTCGCATTCATAGTAATGTCACAAATATTATAGCACAATTCAATCTAAAAATCAATATTGTGAATGGAATATTATAGGCCAACATAAGGAGAACTGAGGAGTTGTTCACCACTTGGTTGAATTAAGACATATGCATGACAAGTACAACAGCTTTGCCGAGTTGACTTGTTCGAATTGTCGTTAGACGAAGTTTATGTGAGTTGTTCTAACATGAATTCACTCTTCTATGTATTCAGCTAAAGTACTATTTTAAATTCAACCATTCAAGTATTCAGCTTTACAATCATTAATTCTATTTAATTATTGTGTGTTTCCAACCCAAAAATAAAAATTGCTTGAGCGTGAAAGTTTGCAACTCTTGAAAGACTATCAAGGATGATTTAATCTTCAGCAAAAGACAGTTCAAAAAGGACAATCTTTGGTTATCATAAGTTACATTGCAAATATCAAAGCTCACGTAAATCTTCTTACACATTTCATTCTTGTTGTTTCTTGACTTAAAACCGGCTAGACTCATTTCAAGCACATCCTATCTTGCCACGAAAAAAAAAAAAAAAAGATTCAATGAAAGTCTGTAACAATCTACTAGCATCTAATCAAACCATTAGAGTTATTTTGTATAAATTACATTATATCTTTATCATCCTAACATCACATATCATCTCTCATGAGAAAGGGAAATACCATTTAGAGAGGATACTCCAGTGTACCAAGGTGATTTAAGCCTGAGAGGGAACAGTGACGGATACATTGGAAATGTTGTCAAAGGCTCAATTTCCCATAAAGATGCTCTGGATTGTCTGTCACCTGCAGTTGATTCGTCCCAATTAACCTGATTTATTCATTATAATGGTAAATCAGATCAGCAATAAGTAGCAATTTATGATGCTTAGATACGGGGATGCTAATCATGATGAAACATTCAAGAACATGGCTTCGAAAAATGAGGCAAAAACGTAGAGGACCCTTTTGAGGGCATGCATAGACATATAAGAAACAGGAAAGTGGAAAATGCTTCAGTTAAGCATTATATTATCATGTAAAAGCAATAAAGCAAAGACCAAATCGTGAGCTCGATTTGTTATTAAAAAAATCCAATGGATCAGCGGACTATGCTTTAAAATGAGGGATAAGATTCCTACATGTTAACTACAAATGATTCACAAAAGCGATGAAAATGTACAATAGAAAAAATATATTTTTTCTTTTACTAGTCGACTTGTTTATCAATGTTACAGTCAACAAATTCCTCATTATATTATCATGTATTTATGCAGTAGTTTGTGTGTTTGTTAATACATGACAATAGAAACCCCCAAGTAGATGCAGTTCATACCAAATAACCTACAAATCCACAATAGATTTGTCCGCCATAATGTAGATAATAGAAGGATTTCTAAAAGCTACTTTATAAAAAAGAAAAAAAAATTCAAGCCAAAAAGAAATATTCAGTATAAAAATGGAAGGACTTTTGTGCGACTATTTATTGTATCGAAACGCAAGAATGAAACCATGTTTCATCAACTTTTAACACTATGCAGGACAATTATAACCATTCATTTTGTGACGCTTCGTTTCGTCTCCTAGAGGGAGTTGAAGGGAGGGAGTCAAAAAGAGGGAGAGGAAGCGAACAGTCGGGAAAACTTGAGGGTACTTTAGATCTATAAATCAAAGGCCAGATCGACTTACCTGTAGAGTCAAACGGCATGTGCGAAAGAGAGGACACCGTAATTTGATGTGTGAGGAGAAGTAGTCGAGCAGAGGAGGATTGATGTTACGGCTGGGCGAGGACAACAGAGATTTCAATTGAAGCCGAAGGGAGAGCCGTCAAGCAGCTCTAGTGCCAAGGAGAAGGAATGAGAGAGCCATTCATTGCGTGCGGGAGTGCCTTTTGAGCGAGTGCGAGCAAGTAAGAAAGAGAAAGAAGAAAAAAAAGCTCTATGCGTGTGTATAGCGCTCAACCGAGCCCTAGCTGAGGGAAAAATTTTTGTCCAGACTCTGGACATAGCTCTACGTGCGTACTTCCAGTAATATACCGCCATGTGTGTTATATCGGACCCACCTAAAAAAATATTAAAGTAGAACCGCATACACTGCTATAACCCCGAAATAACACCGCGGAGGTTATTTCGGGCTTATTTATGGGGTTATTTAGGGGGTTATTCAAGAGAAACTCATATATTCCACTTCAATAATCCTGAAATAACTTCTGCGGTGTTATTTCTGGATTATTGAAGTGGAAGTACGGAGGTTATTTCTGGGTTAGTTCAGGGTCATTGAAGTGAAATATATGAGTTTCTCTTCAAGAACCCCAAAATTACCCAGAAATAACATCTATGATTTCACTTCAATAACCCCGAAATAACATCCGCGATGTAGCACATGTGGCGGCATATTATTGGAATCCACACGTAGAACTATATCCGGAGTCCGGACAGAAACTTTTTCCCTAGCTGAGACAAAAGAGCTCAAACAGAAGTAGGGATTTCAAGCCGAAAAATTAGGGTAAGGGTGCGTTTTAATATTTTAATTAAATTACTAAATATATAAATTTAAGTTGTTAAATTTAAGTGCATTTAATTCAGGCTATAAAAGTATCACTTTTGGATCGAGGAAAGGTCGACGACAACAATAAAGGTTAGGGTTTTAATTCTAAAAGTATTTTTTATAAATTAATAATATTTAATACTAATTGCAATGATCAAATTTAAAGTTTAATTATTGAGATATTAACTAAAATAATAAAATTTATTAAATTTGTATATATGTAATAACATAATTTATAATAATAATATTAGTATAAATGATTTAATCGAAATAAAAAAAATTATATTTACTTATTTAAATTAGAGGAGACATTAATTGAATATTGAATAAAAATACAAATCATGGATGTTCAGTGAGTTGTAGTTTTGATAGTTAGGATAAAATAACTTTAATAATTAAAAGTTTCTAATTAAAACTTAAAATAACACAATTAATTAAAAATCAATTACACATAATTAATGAGATGCTTAAAATTTTATTTTTATTAGGCAGTTAACTATTGGAGAAAAGAGATAACATAATTGAAGATTTAAGATAAGTCGCGCGATTTTGGTGAGTATTCATATTTTTATGCTAAGTAATATTTTACTTCTTCTCGAACAAATAGACTTACTGTTATTGTTATATTTATATCACTTCACACCTACGATTTATAGTTTTTATTAAATTTTATTCATATTGTTGGAGTGACATGTATGCTCAGTATTGCTTAAATTATCATAGGTATTGATTTGTGTACAAGTATGTAGACTGCTATAAAAATAAGAATGAAAAAATCATTACTAGATAATATTTGTTATAGTATGTTTGCATGTGCATGCTTGATTAGATGGTGAATGCTAAGGTATCAGTGCACGTAAATGAAAAAAAATATTGATATTGAAGTATTTTAACTAGTACAATATTTAAACGATGCTTCTATGATGATTATACAGATATAGAATGATATAGATATGATAAAACACATTGAACAGCATAAAAAATCGTAATTAATCATATTCATAAAGTATCAAATATTTTATACTGATTTATTAAAAACTTAACTGACAAGCATATTATTTTATTTTTCTTTATATTATTAAAATTTAGAAGTGTGGGTACTCACTGGTTTTGATTAGCTAAACATTATTTTAAACTAACTTTTCTGATGAAATTAATTGATTACAAGACAGCACTATAAGAGAATATTTTTAGAAGATGCAGACAACCTGTAAGGAAGTAAAATTAATATTATTGCTTTAATTTAATTTCTTTAGTGATTTTTTCATTTGTTATATGTTAGTTATAGAAAATGAATATAGAAAACTTAATTCCCACAGTTTAGCTGTCTGTACCCGCCTTGATTAACTACAAGGCTAACCGGGTCATGACACATTCATACCGAACATATTAAGATGTTCGTTTTAGACATTTCAAATTCTTTTGGCAATGTTTTTCCTTCGGTGACTAGATTGTGCAAAATAACATTGCATGGTGTTGAAATACTTCTACACAAACAGAGTTCATATGCCTTCCATCTTCAACTTTAAATACTTCTTGCTCAGTTGCAGTCAATACATTTGCTCGTGCACTTGAATACATGTCATAGAAGTTGACGACTTATTTTTTCTGTATATTCTCTATAGGATTTGAGAACATAATGTCAGTGCACCAATGAAGGGTTGGTTTTTAAGTTAATAAAGGCTGATGACTGTATCAGAAAACCCAACAACAATCTTCATTCTTTGAGTCGTCGTGTCTTTTAAGTATGGATCTTTAGCTTTCAAACACTTAAAAGCTCGATTTCTTAGCTCTCTAATTGTTGGAAACTTAGACTACATCTCCTTTAAATCCAAGTTCATAGGTATCCAAAGGTGTTAACCACATGGAAGACTTCAAATGTGTTGTCATATGCATCTGAATCATAAGATATGTGAGTCGAGATCGGTCAAAATCTAAGTAAAGAATATGTATTGACCGTGACATCACATGAATAGGCCTCAAATCGACTCGATCTCCATCGAACTCATCAAATGTTATCCCTTCGCAAGAAAGATGTTATCAACACGTCCGTAGCATCAAATTTGCCTTAGGAGCACACCCATACTATATGAATCCACGCATGAATATGAAATGCAAAGCTAACAGAGGGCGGTGTTCGGTTACAACTCTGATTTATGTTAAATAGGATTTATGAAATCAAATAAATCAGGAGTTACGAAAACCAGAGCATGACAGAGAAGCATGCGAGCGACGACGGAATAAACCCGCCTTGCAATAAAATTTACTAAATCCGAATTTAGGTCATAAAAAGATACGGAACCCGAGGAAAAATAGTCGTGACGTGCGACAATTTTGATTTAACAAAGCCATGAACTTAATTTTCAAATTTTTTTATGTTTGGCTAGATTTAAATTAAAACAATAGCTAAATTCTATTAATAGCATGCTACCAAGCACTGCCAGAGTGTGAGTTTGACAAAACAAAATTCCAGACATGTTAACTGCATATTTTACCAAAAAAAAAAAAAAGGTTGAATAAGAATAATTATTTGGAATAATTATTTGTTTGAATTAGTTAAATTGGATTAAATTTGACATTTTCCCAATATTGTTAATGATACATAATATCAGAATGCAAGTGTATGGTTATATAGTCAATTAAGTTTTAAGTTTGTTGTTATGAAATTTATTAAGTTAAACTTAGTAATTACATACTTAACTTTTAAATCTCATAACATAAGCTACTGCTTTATTGTCAGATGACAATAGTTATTCATTTCCAAACTTATGCAACTTAATGAATTAAAACATCCAAATCTAGAAGATTTTCTCACCTGGTCAACAAATCAATACAACATCCAATAAGATGATCCTCACTCAATAAATAAACAAATTAAGATCATTGCTATCATTGAATTAAAACATTTGTATTCTTCACCAAGTTCGATTAAGTACTGCGCGCAAACTGAGAAATGTCTTTTCTTCAATAAGTCCAACAACGGATAAAGAATAGGACTGAAAAAGTTATCCTAAAGTTCATATAAAGCTTGCAGCTGAACAAAGAGAACTTTGCTATTTATGTCGTCACTAAATTCGCTACAGTGTAAGGAATTGAACTGACAACTTTTCGTCATTAACCAAATAGAAGTCACAAAGGCTAGACCATATGCATGTGATTCTTCATTAAGTTTGTTAAAGTGCAAAGCTAGGATAGAAAGAAATTCAAGTTCCAAACTACCAAACATAAAACGTCCTCATCAAGTCTATCAGGCACAAAGCGTCGAACCTATGGTAATATCATGGT